TTGCATCAGGAAGATAAGACATCGAGAAAATGTGTTTTGTTCATGGCACAAACGGTGTTAGTAAAGACAAACACTAATATGAGTTCGTAGAGAATTGAATGCTGTTCCAGAAAATGTGCTTTAGCAAAAGGACAAAGGTCATTTAGTATATGAAAATTATTGATTAATTCTAATCAACTCTTTTTCTGAAACAAATGAAAAACTTACGAATTTCTAATTGAAAAATAGATCGAAAGATAATTTATCACATCTCATTCGAAAGAGCAATAAAAACACTTCTAGTTTCTATAATTACATAATTTCAAACGTACTCAGTTATTGGAAGAAAAATACATTTGATGAGAGAGTTAGGAGACGGCGGAAGTTACAAGAGCTTTTTTGGCGCTGCTTGAGATTCAAATTTTTTCTCACTCAAACTCAATCACAAAAAGTTTGACTATCCATGTTTTTTGAAGTTCAGACTTTGCTCTTTCCAACGGAAAAGTAATTAACTTTCCAGCACATCAGAAACATGTAGAAATAATGCTCGACATTTGTCCAATTACTTTTGCAAGTCAAGAGATTAGACCTTCGGCATTACTTCTCATAGAAAAAGAGTCTAAAATTTCATTAATGGACTTTTTATTGAGCGAGTTTCTGAAGTTGTCTAGCGTGCTTTAAAATTAAAAGGAAAGCGTTTGCAGACATTTGTTGAATGAGAATATTGTAATATATCAAAATCTTCTAGGTAATTGTGCTTTGGTAAGCGTGCATAATGACGACTAGTTTTGTTATGTCTATAATTTCCATCGCGACGAATCAGATTATAATTAGCCATACATATCCAACAAAATTCATAACCGCATTTACATGTGACATGATCACACCCGTCAGTTTTTTCAATACGATATCCAAACAGAACCGGAGAGAAACCTTGGCGCTTCCTTTGTAAAGATCATAATTTTTTTAATTTTTCTTTTTTAAAAAATGAAAAACCACTTTTTCTTACTCAGCTCGATGCGCTCTATCCAACCATGTATAAATAAATCGATTGAATTTCCGGTACCTTCTATATATGTCTTATTCTCATAAAGCCTATTCTGACGACTAACTTACCATAATATTTATTCCGTATATCCAAATATGAGACGACCAGACCTAACCTTAGAATATCAAAAGAATCTCACCATTTATTACGTCTGGTGCTTTAAGATTCCAATTCTTAGCAAGGAGGTATTCGTGAAAGTGGAGTTCAATGGATTGATTCTTTACCAACATACTGAAAGTATGATTGTACGTAGAAGGTTTTTACTGCCAAACCTTGTCAATTTGGGTTCAGCCATGACAAACTTGGCCTACCATATTTTATTGTGTGTGACGATCCAAAAGCATTAAAATATCTCATCCTCAATATACCGTGAGCACACAAATATCAAGTCGTTTACAGAGCTTGTGGATTGAAAACATACTATGCACAATATCAGTTCGCTGCGAACTCAAATATAGTAGTCACATTTTCAGTTTGTAGCAATTATATTCTATATATATATGTACCAGACACATGTACAAGGTTATTCGTATGCGGCGGGAGGGGGGAGAGGTGAGATTGAGAGTGATTTCGAAAAGTAGTTGGACGATCCGCTAAACTCCTAATATCCCTAAGATATCTAAGATACCCTAAATACCTAAGATACCTGACAAAAAAAAACGTTACAGAAAAATGAGTTCGCAGCGAACGCAAATTGTGTACGACCTCATTGAAGTTCAATGAAGTCGATGTTTGAAACATCTACAGTACAACAACAAAAGTCAGACAAGACTAACTAAATAGTTACGTGTTAAATGAGCAGCGTTTTATCAAAAGAATGCACTACCTAAAAATTAAGTCGAGATTGGTAATACTTGCTGTGATAGCGATATTGCGCATGCAAAGGCGAAAGAATTCAGTTTGTCTGAAGAATTCTGTTTGAAGAAAATCGTTCTAAACGTTGTTGACGTTCTTATTATGACTCCTGTTTTGATTGAGCTAAAAATTCCTCCAAGCTCTGAAGTGGACGTTGTGTTCCACTAGGATCCAATCTGTTTTCAAGCTTCCTGTTAACATTTTTAGTTAAATAGAGTAAAAGCATAGCTTTGATTATTTTTTCAATATTTGTATGACGATATTGATCCAATACCCATTGCCTGATTTCTTTAACAAAGAATAGAATAAATCGTGCTTTGTAGCAATATTCGATCCTTGATTGATTGTTATCATTTTCTTCTCTATCGATTATTTTCTCTAATTCATTTACTTGCTTCAGTCGTAATAGATATTGAAAATCATATGTTTTTCGCCCAAGATCACAAGTCATTGACGTTGTTCTTATTAATTCTTGTTTTATACCATACTGGATTTCTACTAAAATCTTAATTGCCTCGTTTATAAATGCAAGAAACCGTTCACATAATTCAAGGCCATATTTTTCACTTTCAGCTTTTTGGTGTTTAATTATTGAAAGTTCAGATCTTGTTTTTAGGTTTTGTCGATCTTCAAATATTGAAATAATTTTTTCATCTGGTAAACAGCCAAATGCCTGTGACTGATAAACATTTCGTTGGTAAAATAATGGTGCTAATAAACACCAATCAGAATAGAATATACCACCATGATCACTATTCTCATTACTTTTTTTACATAACCATTCGAAGACTGTGGTTGATAAAATACCATTTAAAAATTCAGATGGAAAGTTTTCTTGTAATACCAATTGATAATCAATTAATAACTTTAAAATTGTACTTGATAAAACTAATTGTCCCAAATATGGATATTTTTTCTCCAAACTATTTAGAATAATTAACTCCGCCCTATAAAACATCCACCATACGACTTTATAGGATGATGGTCCTTGTTGTTGGTATATTTGTTTTTTAATTGTATTCAGTAATTCGGACTGATATGATTCAGATGCTCGTAATTCTGAATCTAAGGTGTTAGCTGGTGTTGGCAATGCTGATGTTATTGTTGTTATTGTTCGATTTTTATTTTCATCAATTTGTGTTTCGACCTTGTTTAATTGTAATTGCTGGATATTTACTGGTTTAGACTTTTGCAAAATAGCAAAATTTTGCGATGATTGTGTATCAGTTTGTTGTTTATGCTCAAGATTATTACTGTTTGCTAAAATTGAGAAGAGCTTCCGAGATTTTTATTCATATTAAAAAGTTTCAGTAGCTTCTTTAGCTAGCTCTTCAGGAGAAAATTTCCAAAGAATCCCGATGAATCGAGACGAAATCGTAATGAAAAATTTTCGAGAAATGAGATGTTCTTTGAAAATTCGAAATAATATTAAGGCAAAGCGAATGAAAATCGTACATCATAAAAATCTAAACATTAGGTCTCGATTTGTCCATGCATCAAACAGAACAGGAGAGAAATCTTGACGCTTCCTTTGTGAAGATCATGGAAAAGTTTCATAAAAGGTTTCGGATAGAACTCGATTTACTCAATGGTCAGCTTTTTCAAGTCTCAATCCCGTTGGTGGATGGAGAAATTCAGGCCCAGAATATGAATGATGAAATACAGTTTTCGACTGAAGGAAAGGTTATTTAGCCGAGATTATTTTATTATAAATGAACTATGATTAGATTAGGGCTGTAGCCGTTCACGTTGGTTTGGCAAAATTTTAAACGAGAACGGAAACGGTTTTGCCGTTGACGTTCTGAACTGTCAACGCCACTTCATCAGTTGACGTTCTGAACTGTCACGGTGTCGCA